AAAAATGGTGCTGATTAAAAGTTGTGCTATTTGAAACTGGACGTTGAATGGCGTGTCTGTGGCATGAGGTCAAAGTTGGCAATTTTGAATTCTGTGGTCATACAAACTGAAAAGTTGAGCTATTTGTGATAAGATGACTTGGAAACTTTAGAATAATATATACAATAAATAACACTGTGATGTACTGCAGTAGCGAACACCAATCTGATTATTCTGGGGGGTGGGGGTTATGAATAGGTGTTTCTAATATTACAAACCCTTGTCTTTCTAAATGGGAAGGACAAAAAGTGTATCACTTATCAATATAATTTGTATGCGTTATAGCAGAGCTGCTGTATTGGATTACTTTAGATTATACAGGTGAACCTACTATTGTGCCCACTGAGTGTATCTTTGTCATATTAAATGTGATACGTTGCATCACCATCATGAAATGAGAAAATGGCAGGAACAGCTTATAGCCTCTGTGTCACACCAGTTAAAACTACATTTCCATTAAAAACCTGTTGCCCCCTCCCTCTCTCTGAAAATTGAAAAGACTGATTCATGTAATATAGCATTGTTATGAAGCAATCAAGAAGGTTTCCATCTAAATTAAATTAAACTTCTTTGGTGGGTGGTATTTTTAGTAATTTTGGTGTAAAAAAACGTACTCTTGGAAATTGTAGTTTGACAAAATAATCTTCCACTTGCTAGCTAAAGAGACGGTGTGAGCTAAACTGGACACTTTATTACCCGAAAAGGGCTCAAAGTCACCGACCTGGAGTCAGTGGGAGGCCAGAGAAAGAATATTAACATCTGACGTCAAAGACAGAGGTTAACATGTCTCCTCCCTGTGCCACCACCTGTTATCGCTTGACCAGAGATTAAACCCCTAACAGCTAGTTAGCAGACATAACCCAGGGGCTATGATGATGTCATGCAAATACTATAACAGTTTTCTTAAATAAAATAAAATTGCAATGTATCGCCTAGCTTAGAGTATCGCATTATATCACAATATATTGAATCGTAACCCCTGTATCACAATATGTATCATATCGACACACATTTGCACAATACACAGCCCTAGACCATAGGTGAAATTATTCCAACGTTTTCATGGAACATTAAGATGAAGATCAAGGTGAAAAATGGAGGGAAAAAAGAGTACATATGAAGTACATAACAGGAGGAGAAGTGTAAAAAAGATGTCAGAATGTAAGGCAGAGGAGATAAAAAATACAGTTACAGAAGGATAAGAGACACACAGATGGGGAGAGATGAAAAGTTTCAAGTTCCTAATCAGTGATCAGGGCTGATGCCAGCTGAGACCTCACCAGTGTCGGTGCTTGTGCTATCCACACACACACACACACAGAAACCCACGCATATGCTCCTAGTGACAGGTGGGGGAGTGAGGGTCAGTGTCGGGGCCTCCTTGTCACTGGGCAGTTTAGAATTGACACCTGATTGCTGTATGAAGTCTCTCTCTCCCTCTATGTGTAGTCACAAGTGTGTGTGGGTGTGTGGGTGTGTTTCTGTGTTAGGAGCGTGTGTGTTTGTTAGGAGCTGTCATGCAGCTGTCTTGTCAGATCTGATCCCCACTAACCCTCAGTCAAAAAACATGCCACCGTAATAGCAGCACATGTGCAGTCCAGAGAGCAGCAACATCAATCACACACTCCTGGATTCTTGCAGGTTTTCAAGTTGATCATAACTCCAACTTCAAACTTTTTTCTTTGTTTTTTTTCCCCTTTCTCTCTTTTACAAGGGCACTGGTTTCTAATGTGTTTGAAATATACAGTAAATGATGTTGAATAGACTGTTGGGTGTTTGGGTAAAGTTATAGAACCGAAATGCCTCGTGTACCTGATGATGGGTTCCATGAAACCCATTTATTGTAGGTTGGTCAGCATTTTTGAGGAGGTAGATCCCTTTGTTTTTTGTTTTTTTTTTGGCCTTGGTCCAACTTGAAATACAAGTTTTGTCACTTCAATTGCAAGTCACTGGGGAGGGAACAACCTTGTACCTTTTTATGTTGTGCTCCCACTCCCCTCGATGTGGGTGTAACACTGGAGAGAAGATACATTTAAGTGATCTTTATAAAAAGAAACAATGTTTTTAGAGGTTAAACATGAGTGAGACAAACTCTCACCACACCACACTGCAATGTCATAACGAAGATTTCTGACATAAGTGAGCAAAACTTGGGTTAGGGTTAGGGTCTGTTAACAGGCAGAGCCAAGCCTCCTGACACCCCCCACACACCCCCACCCAACTGTAATTTCAAAATCAGTAGGAGGAGGAGGAGGAACAGGCAGGGTGGTGTAAATCTTTAAATGTGTAGACAGGAGTCAAGACGAGGTAGGTAGAAATGTACGTACTATATCAAAATGTTACTTTTGAGTTGTTTTAAATGAAGACAGTAGAATGCTAGAAGGCCAAAGAGCAACATAAAAGTTGAGTTGGCATATAAATGAAACAATTTTACACTGCAAAAATCCATTTTTGGTACGGCCATCTTTTCCATGATGTGGCCAGAGCTGGAAAGTCATTACTTTATTACTGTACTTAAGTAGTTTTTTTTTTTACTTACTTTGTACTTTACTTGAGTATTCATTTTTTTATGACAACGTCTCACTTCCACCCCCTATATTTTTACACAAATACCTGTACTTTCTACTTCTTACATTGTCAAAACAGACTTTAGATTGAATTTTTTAGCATCATTACACACCTACCCTATATCAAGACCGGTACATATCACGCATGGCGTAATATGACGGGGGAAAAAAAAAAAGCAATTTTTTTAATTAGTTTTAGTAGCCTTCTGTTAGTTAGTGCAGTGTGTGCCAAAGGGCTAGCATGAATCTTAGACAACCTTTCTGTATTGCTCTGACAGTGATCGCTCTATGCTGTATACTCTATAAACAGGTAACTGATCCCGGACAGCGGACACTCCGTGTTCCTTAGACGTTTCACATTTTGAAAGAAGCAATTCTTGTGTCTTGCTGCTTATTCAGCACACAGAAAGCACAAGTCAGCTCTTGCTTATCAAATTGCTTGTCAAATTCACAAAAGCCGGGAAGACCACTGTAGGACAGAGTGATATGCAGGTAGCCGGCTTCCTCTTTAAAGTCTCCAAAGAGAAATGGGTTGGTCTTGAAATAAACCATCGGGATGGTGAATGATGGAGGAATGATTACTCATCAACATGAGCTACTGACCTGAAGTATCTTGAACCTTTCAACAGATTCATCTCCCATTCCCTGTTCTGTAAACAGACATTTTCAAACACACGTAGTCATTGGAGTTTTTATTAGATTTCTCAGAGTCATTTTTCAACACTAACCTTTTTTACAGAATTTGCCTTTAACCTTTGTCGTGTTGAATTGACTGCTATATTAGTTTTATAAAGTAAAATGGAATCAAAGTACATTTGAATAAAGGTGCTGGTTATTCACTGGCTAGTGAAGGTAGTTAGAAAGAATTGGAGTGGTGAATAGCTATTTGAAGCCACAGGTTGTGGATTTCCTTGCTTTGTATGTGTGTGTGCGTGTGGCTTAAACACTGCAAATATATTGTTCTATTTTTCTGTGTCATGCCTGCTATCATGCATCATTTACTTCAAGACTGCATGTTTACAGATCTGTTGTGTAGCACCTTGTGTGTGTGTGTGTGTGTGTGTGTGTGTGTGTGTGTGTGTGTGTGTGTGTGTGTGTGTGTGTGTGTGTGTGTGTTCTCTGTTGGTCTGTGTACTGTATGTGCGTTGTCTTTGTTACTTTCAAGATAGCATGTGTTTGTGTCTCTTTGTTAAAATGACAGTTTGTTAGTTTTAATACAGAAGCAGCTGACCACTTCCCCTGTCAGTCTATTCCACCAAATCAACCTCTCTCACATGCAATTATTTTAGCTTCAGCAAGAAAACCATAGTGCACGAGGTTATAGTAAGACATTTTAGGAACTAAACTCGTGTTATCTTGCGAAGAGTTAGATGAGAAGGTCAATGCCACTCACATGTTTACATCCAGCAGACACTTTACTAAGCTTAGCATAAAGATTGGTGAAAGGGGGTGTCCAAATCTAACAATATCCCCCTACCAGCACCTCAACAACTGTTTAACTAGTTGTATCTTGGGCTCAGGTTGTCCTGTCATTGAGTGTTATGCTAAGTTAGACCTGTACCTTAACTTATTTACTGTACACACACACAAGAGTGGTATCGAGCTTCTCGTTTAACTCTGGTCAAGAAAACGAACAAAATAAAAAACAATATCTAAATGAGGTCTGTATTTTTGTACTATATGTATTGTTTTTAAACTCAACTTCTTGTATATCTTCATGTGGACAAGGCTTTGACCATGAATTCCGGGTCAGTGTGATTCAGTCATTCACATTGGCAAAGTGAAAAAATAAGTAAAAATAAACACAATAATAACCTTCTGAAAATTGAAACCGGAGTCACAATGAGATCCGTTCTCCTGTTCTGCAGTATGTACACATTTGTGTGTTTAGGCCCACACATGGTTAACACACTGAAAAACAACAGGGGGAGTTTGTCACATGCTTCTGTTAAATGCTGCTTCTTTTACAGCCTCTGCCTTTTTCTCTGCTACACTGATCATTTCCAAATGTTAACATAATGTCTCTGATGTGTATAATTGATGCTACTGTATGCACTGTTTCTAAGAGGTTTATGCCTTTTGATCCTAAGAGGTTCAACCTCAGCTAAGTCTTCAATTTTCAACAGAGAACTAATATTTTTTCGCCTCTTTTTTTAAAGTCCCTCTTTTCTTGCTCCTTAACTTTCTTAAATGAACTCATATACAGTAAATTTCTACTGTGAACATGTGAAGTGGACGCTGTGGTAATGTTTACCCAGTGTCAGTGTGGCGATTTTTCCAAAATAAAAAAGGGGCTATAGAAACATTAATTATTGATTCTTATCTTTTGAGAGCATCTTTTGAAAGCTGTGTGTGTTCTTGATCACCCTGTTTTCCTCCTTCTTGGTCCTATAGGTCCCCTTACAAAGAAACACACTGATGATTTAGGTGATAGTGACCGCACGGACGACGAAGGTATTTTTTTCCCCCCCCGATGCCAAACTGATTTGCATGACAAGGGAATCCAAACTTACCCTTTCTCCTCCAATTTTTATCTTCTTTGATTTTCTTACATTTCTTGTCCTTTTTTTGAAAGTGATGGACATTTTCTTTTTGCTCTTTACTCGTAAACTCTCTTTTTGGGCTGGATGTGTTTTGTCCTTTTCAGCTTGATGTCTAAAGTTTACATGTCTACCACCATTCTTTGATATAAATACTGTAACATAGACTCTCTGCTTGGATTTGCTGTTTCCTTTTACCTTTTCTTTCCTTTTCTATGTTGCATCCCACCAGCAGATCAAGTAACTATTAACCCCTTCAGCCAGCTCTTAACACATTTTTTGCATGTTCTTTCTTTTGGTCCGTCTCGTTTATGAAATCAGATCATGTTCAGAAGATCAACTACTGGCTAACTGGCTTGCTCCTATACTAACAATCAGCCTTGTTCACAATTTTAGGCGTCAAACCAATAGTCTTACATGACGGGTCTGAAGGTAATGGAAAAAAATACTGCATAAAACCAGTGTCGGCATCTCTCTCAGCTGTGCCTGCTGCACAGACGTGTGGGTTGTTATCTCTCCTGGCATGGTCTCCTCTCCTACAGGGCAAAGTCTGAGCTAATTTACTGCACACCAGTATGTGAAGCTAACTTTCTGGTCAACCCCCCGCAGTGGCTGTTACATTCAGGATCTAAGTCCCAAGCTGCCAAATTAGCTTTTTTGTAGCTAAAACGTAGTTTGTCTAGCAGCAGCAGCATCAGCAGCATGACAGACTTGGCAATAATAAAATGAGCCAGCACTTGGGTGGAGCTGATTTCAAGAGGCCTTGCTGTCATTATGGTTGTAAGTGATCATCGGGGCCCCCCTTTTGAATGCTTTCTTGCAGAAAACACAATCAAAACAAAACTTAAATGCTCACTTTTCTATTGCTCTTATGGAACACTTATGTCGCATCTGTCAATGCCATGATTTCTCAGATTCTGACAACGCCTTCGACAGCAGATTGTAATTAAAATTTTGCAAGTATATCTGAGAGACAAGAGGAGGCAGAAATAATGTCATTGGTTGAGTTAAATATCCACAGAGCCAGAGCTTCTGTGAGTAAAGTGGATGGAGAGAGCACAGATTCAATGTTTTCGTGTCTGATCTTGTAAATTCTAAAGTAGACATAAAAACCTATAGGTATGTATGAGACCTGTTCAGTTATGTCCCTTCCAACAATATAACTATAAAAGATATAAATAAATAAAAACATCTTTCATTCATTTTATTTACTAAAATGTATTACAACTGGAGTAACTGTAAAACTGCTGCACTCAAAAATGTACTTAAGAAGTAAACACCTAGGGTGAGAGTACTGACAATTAGGCTGCTTTTTAAAGAATTCCAGGTGTTAGGAGCATAAAAATTAAAAGCAGATCTCCCAAGCTCGGTATGAGCTGGAGGAATCCGCAATGAAAGCCAGTCATTAGACTGTGGTTGATTGTGCAGAGGACCATTCTAGCATCGGAGAGATACAAGCTAGAAGTCAATTTTATTTATATAGCCCAATATAATAATAATAATGATACTAATAATAATAATAATAATTAAAATTATAATAATCATAATAATAGTAATAATAATAATAATAATAATAATATAACAAATAATAAATTTGCCAAATGTTTTTTCTAACTTACTTCCATGAATTTTAATGGAGGACCAGGTTAGGGTGGAATATATTTTCTCTCTCTGAGGTAAGGTAACAATAGTTGGTATTTAAGTATTTAAATTAAGTATAAAGTAACATAAAATCAATAAAATGAATAGTAAACTAAAAATTCAAGTGTTTCAACAAATGCAGTTAGTTACCTTTAACCAGTGATACAAAAATACAAACTAAACAATACTCCTATATTTGTTCTCTGTCACAGCTGGCCGCTGACCATTGAGCTCAACTGTTAGTTACTTCTGCTTCCATCAGTTCTGCCTCCAAGACATCTTTAAAATTCCAATCTGTGCTAAAGCCTTGCAAAGGTTTCTCTCACAACCCGCAATTTCTAAGTGGTAAATATTGGTGTGACTAAGGTGATCACTCAGAAATATTGTTTAAGCATCGGATAGATTCCTTACCAGGAGAGTAACTCCACACTGTACGGAGGCCTACACTGTCTGGTACTGTGCTGTACAGTATGTGACCAAATGTGGCATGCAAGTCATGTTAGTTAGCGCGTATATCTGTGGCCTGATTCAGTCAAACCCACTGAATGTTTGGAACTAAATCCCCTGTTCTGCACACACGACTTGAAACAGAATAATTAAATAATGCAATAAAATGCAATAAAATACATTTCCCACACATTGTTGTTGCTTTTAAGGCATTCAATACTATATGAGTATGATGAAAACCAATACTTAAGGAATCCAATGGATACCCGACAAAGACTATACCTCTGAAACATTGCTGCTGTTGATGTTTAAATTGAGTGCCATTTAAAAGCTAAGACAATGTGCTGGAAATCCATTAATCTCAATAATACAGAAGAGATGAACCTTTGCTTGGTTGCCACAAACAAGCAGCTCTTTGAAAAGTCATATTAGGAATAAAATGTCCTTGATAAAACCCTGCGATAGAGTCATATCCCCCGAAGGCTGCAGCAGTGCAACTTTAATGACAGGCAGAAAGACTTAATAAGGCACCTCTACTGTATAATGTGACGAAGTAAACAGCAATTACATCCAAATAAGACTCACAACCATCCGGATCCTTTAGATCTGTGCCATCACGCTGTTTTTCTGAGAGCTCTCTCTCTCTCTCTCTCATACACACACACACACACACACACACACACCCCAATAAGATTAGAGAGAGTCACACAGCTCACACAGATCTATTCAATGAAATCCCAGCAAGCTTCAAGCATTATCTCGATAAAGGATGCGGGGCAGACAACTAATCCAGTTTAATATAGAGGAAAATATGCTTGAGAACACACACATATGCACACACTCTCTCGCCCTATCCGGGGCGGACTCTGATTAGCTTCGGTCCCCCTCCCCCCGGCCATTCTTGATGCTCTTAACCTTTGACCGCTTGTCGCCTTGTAGATGCAAACTTAATGAGGACATCCCCTAACCTCCCCACCCCTCCCACTCTGCAAATCTTGGATTTTACAATCTCTTTATACTCAGTAAAGCTGGTGTTTGTAATCCTTTTGTGCTGGGAATAGAGATGTAAACAGGAAAGTCCCCGAGAGCTGAGGATTTGTTAGAAGCTCTGGGTTTTTTTTACAGAAAATATTGCTGGAGTGGTTAAGAGTGGGTATACGGAAGTAGAGATGTCATGAACTGTGGTCTCTACAAGGCTCTTATGGGGCCCCTGGTACCCTATAAAAACTATTATATAGAAATACCTGTGAATATTAATCCTCCTATACACTATGGCTATATTACTTTGAGTGTGGAGGGCATAAAGATATAGATGTTGCTGACAGCATGAGGACAATCCTGGAGCATAGGAAAAGATGATACAAGATCATCTGGGGAATGTGTTACCTTGTTGAATCCAACTCACCCAGAGGCTCCAACTGATGAGATTTCGAGTCCAACTCGCACTATTGAGGCTGCTTGCTATCACATACAAGTAAAAGTTTAAACCTATTTTGCCACCACTACTATCATCGCCATCAGACAGAACAAGACATTTCTTTTAAGGGATGAAAGCGATGTGCATTTACCAGAAAGCACTTTATTTGTCAAATTTGAGTTTAATCAAGAAATGACTTTGGGTAATGGAGGTATATACCCAGTTTCAGGTACTATTTATCATAAACAGTATGACTTTAAGCAAAAAAAGATGTATAAGTAGTTATTTATTAAACAAAACAATTTGCTTAGAGATAAGATCATTTCAATGTCAAAGTCTAGACTCGACGTACATGATTTTCCTGCTTGTTATGCAGGGGTACTGCAGTTTGCGATACATATGTGCCAAGCCTGTAGTGAACTTTGCAATGCATTTTGAATTAAAAGCAGCATGTAATGTTCTATAAACATTGTTTCAAATTAAAAAGACGTAATCATGGCTGTCCCTGACAAAACCCTCATTTGTGCAAGCATTATATAACATAGTATGAGGGGAAATCGCTGACTGTGAGGCAGATGCTGTCAATTTTAAGTTAATTTGAAAAGTAACAATTGGGCCACTTAGAACCTGCCTATGCAAGTTCAAGTATAAATCCTAATCCAGGTCTTATTTGAAAACCAGAGCTTCCCTAGCTGTAAATCTGAGTTGGATTATGACGTGAACTTTTACAAGCTGGAAACTGGTAATTACCGTAACTACATGACCATGAACTTGGCCAGTAATTATTCTCCAATTAACCAGAGGTCACTTTTCAGGATACGATATATCGTTGGAAATTAATTAAATCTTGCCATTAAAGGAATAGACTGAAAATATCAATTGCAACATCATGCTAGGCAAATATGTATTTGCATATGGCAAGAAGTAAATATGCCATCAAATCTGCATGTCTTTACATGTTTCTATTCACAGCATTTTATACATGCAAGTGGATATGTACTCTCATGAGTTACATCAGCACAGTTGGATTATTGAACACAGGAGCATTTCCTTTGGAAGCATTTGAATTGGTGCTCACCACTGGGCCTCATTTTGTTTCTTGTTGCTTTTGACGAGAGTCCTCACGGCTTTGCTCCCTGCAGCAAAAGGCTGAAGCCAGAACAAAAAAAAACCCACCTCTGCTCCTTGTGTCTGCCACTGGTTTGATAAGTCCTCTACACTGACTGAGGGATAAGATACCGAAGTTGTTGCAAAAGCCCGGGGGCATCTCTCAGGGTTTGCTGAGAGAAATCTAAAGCACCTGGATCTCTTTGATCATAACCTCATCCTCAAGGAAGCAATGATCTACTCCATGTTGGCATGGCACCTGTCCTCTGACAAACTCTCCCTCGCCGGCGCTCAAGATTGAATGGTCGAATCACTACAAGATTGCATCTCATTTCAGGTCTTCTCAAAGCAAGCTTTTATCTTGCTGCTTGCTGTGAAAAAAGCCCTGGAAGACAGTTGGGTTTTCCCACAGGTTTCCAAAAAATTGCTAATCATTTACAGTTACTTAAACAGAGGGATTAAAAGAAACATTGATGTTATACATAATCATGTAAATACTGGATGTTCCTATAATCACCCCAAATATATCACTACCTCACTTCACGCAGGAGGATGATTGAAAGAGGCGACATTTGCAATCAGCCGAATGAGGATTAATTGATAAGTTAGGGGAATGGAGAGAGAGGCTGGGGCTTAGAAGATTTTTTTTGGCTCTGGGTCCTGCAGTGGCAGCCAATGAAGGATACCAGGAAACCATACTGAAAGCGAGTTGGATTGCATAAACTTAAAACCTCAAGGTACAGCGTGTTCAATATACGCCGGGACTCGTTTCAGCCAGTAAATCCAGGTAAATTCAGGTAAATCCATCAAATGCTTAAACATTGCCAAGACAATTTTGTCCTCACCTCACCTCATTACCGCTGACCTTCAGCGCTGAACAAAAAGAGGAAGCGAAAGCAGCCAAGCTGGATGTATCTCGCTGCAGCAGAAATTAATATATTCATGTAATGCTGGGGAGCACATATACACATCCTGTCATATCATATATACTCCATATTGTGTTTGCTTTAAATAAAAATACACCAGTAATATAAGAGGACTGGGTCAAAACCCAGTATCATTTTTATGATCTACAAATAAAAATCTATGAATGATCTACCTACTATGAGTGTTCGTTGTCATCATCATCATCATCGTGCAATGATGATGGTCATCAAAGTCCTCAACATTTTAATCAGTCATGTTTGCCATGATCATCATAACTTCCAACATAGCAATTGAAATAATTGTTAATCACTATCATGATTATTTGCTGCCATCAATATTGTTTTTTATCATCATTTTCAACATTTTATCATTATCATTGTTGCCATCTTTATCATTATTATCATCGACATTGTTGTCTTCACCGATGCCACAGCTATCAGTGACGTCATCAATAGCACCATGTTGCCACACGCCTTATCATTAACACCGTCAGTGCCATAACCAGTGTCATGTTTGTAATTGTTATCATCATCAGTACCATCATGGCTGACACCATCATTGGTATCTACATTATCTTCACTGACACATTAGTCATCGTCATCATCGAGGCTGCCAACAGAATTATCACTGACACCATGAGCATCATCATCAAAAAACTAAGTCAGGATGTTATAATACTTCTTATTACAATAAACTATGACCATCATTAATATCTATATTATCTTTATTGACATTGTTGTCACCATCATCCCAATCACAGTTGCCATGGTTATCAATACCATCATCATGGTTGTTGCCATCATCATCAACACTGTCATCACTGACTTTATTATTCTAATCAATATCATCACCACCACCACTGTTGTCATCATGTCAATGCTATTATCACCATCATCATTAAGGTTGTCAGTTCTCATCATCACCACGACAACCGTCATCAGCATCATCACATCGTCACCATCTCAAATAGAGCTATAGCAGTCATGACCATTACTAGCATTGTTCATTGTTATCATTTTTGCCCCTTATCTCCCCTCCTCTCCTTTTGTCAGGCTACACACATATCTGTGCCATTACGCACACACACACACACACACACTTGCCATAATCCCCTGACCTTTTTTGTCAGAAGTTTCTGGAAGCCTTCCAGAGGAGAGTTATGATGTGCCGCTATATCGTGGCCACTGCCTGCTGCGACAGAGGGAGCAGAACGAGGAGGAAAAAAAAAAAAAACACTACAAAGGACAGAGAATGATAGAAGTGATGTAATGAGCTCTGCACTGGGAGAAACAGAGGAAAGGACAAACAGAGTGTGCACACAAGGAGAAGCGAGCACCTAGATGCGCCTCATGTTAATTTCCTGCTACATTTTTGTTTTCTCTTACCCCATGTCATTTTGCCAATTGAGTTTTTTCTGAGACTGTGTCTATTTTATGTCCTCTGTCGGGAAGAAAACAATTTCTGCAGTTCCCCAATATGCAGACACAGTGTTATATTTAGTTCCTCTTTCCAATTTCTGCTGCATAATGTCCTGTTCCCTCAGTAATCTTTCGCCTTCACATATAAGGAAGATAAAATGGAAGTGAAACCAACCAAAATGCATTATCCCAATACAACACTTGATTGAAGTAGGTCGAAGTCTTATCATAATAATCATACTGATGTACATTATTTACAGTGGAGTACTTTAAGGGGCACTTTGACACAGTTTAAACGCATAATTGAGCCACCTTCATACTGCCTCCATCATGTTTTTCCCTGAGGTGTTTACATTATTTTGTCTACCCCCTGGATCATGGGTATTTTAAACGCACAGTGGGAAAACTTTCAGACACTATCCCTCTCCCCTCCCAGTTGAAGATCTTCTTGTTCTCTGTGTCTCGGAGGTAACGTCTTTCTATTTTCTTGCTTGGTTAATATTTTAATTCCGCATAGACACGCTGATCTCTCTCCGGACCCCGGAGTCCCTCAGTGGTAAAACATCAGTGGGATAAACGATGTGTGCCGCTGCATGTACTGATGGAGATAGTTAGGAAGCGAGATGAAAAGCCTCATCTCTGGGATACAGAAGATGAAAGTGAAACCTTGTTTTGAACGTGGGTTGCAGCATGTTGTTAGATCTCTCCAAGTCTTCTCATCCTTTTTTTATTTTATTTTATTTTTTATTTTTTGCTCACAGCCCAGCCCATATTAGAACCACGTCAAGGGCTAAAGCTTTACAATGCAGCCCTCCTTTCTTCTGCTCTAATCAGCCAGATGTAACGCATTTTAATAAGGCTAATTGTGCTGCTCTCAGCAGGCTCACCATTCTCCTCATACCTTGACCTCATATTAACAGATGCAACTGCACATTCAAAGAAATACTCCTTACTTAAAAGAAACACACTTCCTGCTTTGTTGCAGTGTACATAATTTCAGTAAGACAAGTCATTTACAGCATAGTTTCAACTGCCTTATAACTCTATAATTATGGGAATGATTGAACTGTAATTTAAAAGCTGAATCAACATCCTTCTTCACATTAACAAAACCCTCTAAATTATAAAATAAACCAAGTGTCTTTCATTTTTTTCATTTTAATTTCCCCTGCTGTCAGTAAGTGTTCACATGCATTTATATTCACAAAACCAAGGGAAACATTTAACTACAGCTAAACAACTGTGAAGCGCTAAGCTGAATTCCTATTAAACTTTCAATAAAGCATCGCTTTTTCATAAGGTTGTGCAACCTTACGTGCCATTTTTTATTAGGTTTTTTTCCAGATTAATCGCATAAGTTTTACCTCGACATGACAGTTTAGATTGCCACTCTTGCATGTTGACAGTCCACTGCCCTGGAGGAAAATTAAAAACTTGCTGTGTTAAATATCCCGTTTCTTTAACACCTATATGGAATTTAAAATAGGTTAATAAATAAATAAAGCAGCGTTTTTCCAATCACCGCAAACATGTCACGGCCTTCATGTAGAGAAATTAATGGTTTGACGCCTCAAACTAACAAGGTCTCCATGTTAAAAAGCCAGTGTGCCAATATTACAAAAAAATCAAATTAAAGAGGTGGCCAAAAGCCCCCTAAAGTATTGAAATTGCATCTCTGACTGTCACCTTCAATCTGTCATCTAATCAGTCCTTCTGCCTTCTCCACCTCCTCCTCTTCTTCCTCCCTTTCCTCCAGACATTAGGGAAAGTGGAAGCCCCAAACCGGTCATGGTTTTCATCCACGGGGGCTCCTACATGGAAGGAACTGGGAATATGTTTGACGGCAGCATCCTGGCCAGCTATGGGAATGTGATTGTCATAACTGTCAACTACCGGCTGGGCGTCCTAGGTAAGGATCCTGCTGATACAGTGTGATGCACAACCATTGCTGTCATGTTCTGTCCATTCTTTCTTTATTCTAACTTCTTTTATTGGGGATTCCATTAGCTTAGCATAAGCTTGCTATGACGTCTTAAGCTTCTCACTTTTTTCTCTTTTGTTGATTCCATGTGCTGCTGCTGGAATTTTCAATGACTTTAGCTTAGCACAAAGTTTAAAGCTAGGAATAGAATCTTTCAATGTCTTTCTGTCTTTGCATTAATCTCTTTTGGTGTTGCTATGTGTTGCTGCTGGTCACATAGTTTTTCAATTACTTCCTATCTGATTTTACTTCTTCTTTCTGTCCCCTCGTTCCTTCCCTCTGTTCTCGGTGAGCCTATATGCTGAGCGATATTCCAGAGAGCTTAGTTTAGCGTGGTTCTGGTTTTTAAGTAGGAATCTGAGCTCCCAAGTTCCCTTGGTTTCATTGGTAATTGTTATTGCTCTCACAGCTTTGTTAATTGCAATTCAGACATTTATATCCAATGGCTGGATCTTGGTTGTGATCTGTTTGTTATTGAGTAATACTGGGAAGGTCAAAGGAACAGTAGACTCAAAGGAACAGTAGACTCAAGCAGATTCTCGTAAAATATAGTCTATTTTAGCGTGGGATTGGTCCAAACCAAGGGTTGGGGTCATTTGAGATATTTTTGGTGTAATGCTGCATTGTATCCTCAAAACAAGCTTTTGATGCTTGTGATTGACATACTTTTTATGTATAGCTAGTCTATTCAACATCAGAATGTTGGGATATAACATGTTCTTGTACTTGTGCGGCTGTGGCTCAGAGGAAGAGCGGGTTGTCCTCTAATCGTTAGTTTCTGTTTGATGGACTTTGCCATCACTGAGTGAATGTGTGTGAAAGGGTGAATGTGGCATGTAGTGTAAAAGCGCTTTGAGTGGTCGGAAGACTAGCAAGGCGTTGTACAAGTACAGGTCCATTTACCATTACTGACACATGTATGTGATAAAAAAGCACATGGTCTGGCCCGCTTACTATGCTTTTATGCTTTTACCCTCCCCATATCCTTTCTTATATTTAGTTGCAATATCATCTCTGATCTTTAGTCCCTCTTTTTTTTTCATTCCCACCTCTGTTTTCTTCCTCACTCTATCTTATCTCTTCTCATCAGTCTAATTCCTAATTCCCTTTCTCCTGCGTATGGATGTCACTGCCTTACCCAGAGGGCAGCTATATATTGTGACACATGACGGAAACCGAGGTTCACTGCCTCGGCCCTAAATGAGATTACACTGTCATTTGTTTTGATGGAAGGAACCGATTCCATTCCCATGTTTTGGTTGCTGGGGATTTTCTCCCTTTCTTATTAAACCATACCAGAATAAAGATATAGGGCAATATCCGCCTTTCACTCAACTAAAATGTCGTTTGTCTGCAGGCGTGTGTGTGTGTGCACATATTTGTGTGTGTGTGTGTATGTGAGGCATGAGGCTTAAAGGGAATTATTTTAAGTTGATACAGAATGTGAAACACAACATTAATGTTCTCTGCTGGTGGTCTACATTGTCTCTTTGTTCTCAGGCCCTGATCTCTTCTACATGACTTATATTTATTTGTTGGAATTGCAAATAATTAGCGTCAATGCAAAACCTCATGTTCCCTTGCATATAATCTGATGAAACACTCTGATATTAAGGTTCCTGACAGCTGGAAATCAGGTGATGGTTGTTTCAAACTTAAACTAAGCAGACATTTTCCAGCAGAGCAATCGTGGTTCACGTCTCTCGGAGATATATCTGTCAGTCAGCCGGTGACTGGATGGACAGTCCCCCCTCTGCAACCTTCGAGCCCTGCCAAGACCACAAAAATGGATATTAAACAAGTAATCCATCATCTCCAGTTACCAATCATTCATTCCTTTCAATACCCAATTATTCCTTTTCAGGGTCAGGAGGGGGCAGGAGACTACCCCATTGTGCAGGAGGAGTACTTCATACAGATGGTGTATATAGAAAAATAAATACTTGTAGGTTCACAACTATGGGAATCTCTCAAGTCCAAAGTTCAGAATCTGCATGAGATTCCAATGCTGGACCCTCCTGTTGTGGGTTTTAAGCTTTGCATCTCAACAACTTGACCTCCTCTGTAGCTACAAGATAATGGCAAGAATCAATACAAAGTGATGTTGTCATGGATTACCTGTTTGACAGAAAATGAATCAGCAATACCCAAATATGGCACACATTTGACGGTTCCAGCTTGTAATATGTGTGACTGCTCTTTTTCTGTGTCTTTTATCATCGTAAATGGAATGATTTTTGAGTCTTTTGAGAGGGTAAGTTTTCTCTAATTTATTTGGACTTCGGACAATGAATTTTGGTTTCAAATACTGTGTTCTTTCTGGCTATTCTTTTTTTATGGCGGCCAGTTCCAGTACCGAGTTTCGGGTCACTAAGGGTTTTTCTTTTCCTGGGATGTTTTATTTTGGGTAAATACTGGACTAATTGAAATTATCTATTGAAATTATTATCTCTCTCTCTCTCTCTCTCTCTCTCTCTCTCTTTCTCTCTCTCTCTCTCTCTCTGATGTGTGAGCTCTTGAGTGCTGCGGGCCTCGTGGTGTTGAGGGAAACTGTATCCCTGCTGGTTAACATGAGGCGCCGCTGTTTGCTCTCAGATTAGACTCTATGTGTTTGTGTTTACCCCCCTGGCAATGGACAAAAGCATACCTCACCAAACATGTGATGGTGCTTGTGTGTGTGTGAGTGACAGGGAGAGTGTGCACTCAGCTACAGTAGGTGTAAGGCTCATAACCGCTGGGCTTTCCAGTCAGTCATCCAGTTTTTAGTAGGCATGTAAGTGGGTTCAGTAAGTAGCCCCACTGCTGCAAATACCCATCCTAACAAGTCGATTTATCTAATATTAAGTCAAGTAGAAAAGAAAAAATACATGAAAATGTATTTTGAGGTATTGCCATTGATGCTCCAAGGTTTGTGCTGGAACAATTTAGAGCTACAATTTACATTTTTACTCTTTGTCCAGTTACAGAAGTCCATACCCAGGGTCTCTTCCTTTTAGATCTCTTGTGAGGAGGAATTTTCACATGCAATATAATCTCCAACCTGTGAACTGATTGTGCAACCAACACTCATTAATGACTGTTACCCTTTTCACCTTGGTGAACGTGGAAGTTCTGCAAACATAAACAATATAATACAGTGCAGTCCTCAGCATTTTAATGCTGCTGCTTTGGCCCCGATACCACAGTCCAGAACCACCTTCAATCAAGGTCCATGTCCTTTTAGTAAGGTTCATAACAACACAGGCTTTCACTGGATGAATGTTTAGTGCAGTGGTCTCTGTGCATACATTCATGCTCATTTAGTTACCTGATGAAAGGTGTGATAAGAGGTATTATACCTGATAATGTAATGTTCATGTGTCATGTTGACCAATTACGTTATTCAACTAGTAAGTGCATAGTTGGTTTTAAAATCAGGGATCTCATCACAGCTTACTTGAAACAGACTCTATACCACATTTTGTATTTTAGTTGTTCTCAACTTTTTGGGTGTTAAGGACCCCCAGATTGATACATATCAGGCCATGCACCCATATTTGAAAAGATGTAGTCTCAGGATCCCTTGTCTGATAAGATTTAGTCATTCCATAGCTGTCTATACTGTAGATGGACAGTGTGAACATCTCTCATTGGGATAACTTCTAGTCAATTAAATAATAGTGAAATTATTTGGAACCCCCATCAAGGGATCCCTGAAACTCAGGTTGAGTATTGCTGTTTTATTTTTATTTTTTTATTTAACCTTTATTTAACCAGGAAAAGTCCCATTGAGTTGCAGTAACTCTTCTCCCAGGGAGTCCTGGCCAAGACTGGCGGCAAAAAGTTTCAAAAAAATATACATAAAAGACAGGAAAAAGGTTACATACTACACCACAAATCTCTGTACATACACTATACATACTAGAACACAAACAAGACATTACATTAAGCTAATACAGACATACAACTTAAAGGGCTCCTAGTTTTAATGGACCCAAAAGTGGTTTACTGGACCCACAATTTGTTTTCACACTCAAAAAACAAACTTACACAATTCCTTTGCAAAATGACCTTATGTCTAAAGAACCTCTCCAATTGGCCCACATGTGAAAACACTCTTAGGCAGGCGAAGACCAGGGCTAACCATGCATGAGACTCAATAAATGAATTAAAATCCTATCCCCAAGGAACCACAAGATATTAAACATTTCCAAAATAGGTTTCAGATCCTAGCCTAGAAAGCAGTGTGGAGTCTGTTAACACCTTCCTTTATTAATGACTTCCAACTGTCTCCCAGACTAATAATTATGTTCTCCAGCCGGCCAGTTAGCTCTCTGTTGGCCAAAGTGTGCAGTTGTCCTTACCCAGCCAGCCATTGCAGCACCTGTTGGCTTGAAGATGCTGCGCTGCTGACAGAACTCCCTACTCTCGCAACAGTGATTTTTCTCCTCGGCTTAGCATGTGTTTGTGTGTCTGCGAGAGCCAGTGCTTTGCAGGAAGCCATTAGTGACTTTAAATATGCAGGGCTGCTGACACAAAGCTGTATTTATCGTTTAAAGGCCTTGGCTACAATGGATTTTGCCATGGGGCACGTATATAGTATGCTATTGTCTGTGTGTGTGTCCATGGGTGTGTATGACCATGTGTGTTTAATGAATTAGTTTCTCCTGTGTGCAGATGAGGTGTTAATGGAACACATAGTGCTGTCATGTCAAGTGCCATTATTGAGGGTGCAAGTATTTATTGTCTTTGTCATCTCACTCGTCCTTGGTTTATAATGGGACACTCTGCTCGAAGGTTAGTTTTGTTTTACTTAACACTTGAACTACTTAAGAAACTAAGTACTCTATCCTCTATATACAGTATTCAAATATCCAGACAAGTGATAAATGATGCTATTGTGAGGGGCACCAGAAGGTAGTGTCATCATATGTCCATGTAAAGGTTGT